CTTTCTGCCTCCGAGATAATGTCCTGTACAAAAAAAACGCCCGTTCTCTGAACCGCGCTTACCTCCTCGTCGTTCCGAAGGACATGTGGGACGAAGTCCTCTCCGCGTGTCATGACGAGCCCACATCTGGTCATCTAGGTTACTCGCGAACGCTCGCCAGAGTAAGTGAGGCGTACTACCGGCCCGGACTTTCGGCAAGCGTGAAGCAGTACGTTAAAAGCTGTCGTTCATTCCAGCTACGAAAGTCGCCACCAAGCAAGCCGGCTGGATTACTTCAGCCAATTGATCCACCCCATAAGCCATTTGACCAAGTCGGCAAGGACATTCTCGGCCCATTTCCTTTATCGTCCGACGGCAACAAATGAGTCATCGTTGCAACTGACTATTTGACCCGCTATGCTGAGACACAGGCGATACCACGAGCCACGGCTTCTGAGGTAGCACGGTTCTTCATGTGCCACATTGTTCTGCGCCACGGTGCTCCATCTACAGTGATAACCGACAGAGGAACAGCGTTCACTGCACAGCTTATTGATGAAGTTTTTCGACTAAGTAACACTAGGCATCGAACGACGACTGCTTACCATCCGCAGAGCAATGGCTTAACCGAGCGACTAAATAAGACAGTCACAAACATGATCTCCATGTACATCAACGTCCAACACAAAACATGGGATCGCATTTTGCCTTATGTGACGTTCGCTTATAATACGCCGTTCAAGACACAACCCGATTTACACCGTTTCGCCTTCTCTACAGCCGCGAAGTTCAGATGATACTGGATGCGATGCTTCCTTGTGAAGGCGCCGATGAATTAACAACTGACGCCAAAGAATTTGCAGAGCGTGCCGAGGAAACTCGCCAGCTCGCCCGGCTACACATTGGTCAGCAGCAACAGGTCGATGCACGACGTGACAATATGCGTCACAATGACGTATCTTACAGACCGGGAGACCAAGTTTGAATTTGGATTCCTGTTCGACGTCGTGACCTCTCCGAAAAGTTGCTCAGCAGATACTTCGGCCCGTATAAAGTATTACGCCGCGTGAGTGACGTAAACTATGAAGTGGTTCCGGACGCTACGTCGTCACGATGGGTACAACGAAAACAACCAATCTCTGACATAGTTCACGTGGTGCGCATGAAGCCTTATTTTGCGCGTTCCTAAAATACCACTTTTCCTGTGTGTTTTTTTATTTGTGCTCCGACAATTGCCTCATCATTGGTGAACTTATCGCGCCTAACATTTCATTACTGGTGCCCTTTTTCATTGTTCAAACTACTTTGTTTTGGGGCTTTTTTTAATAACTTTACAGCATCAGGACGATGCTCTTTTTTGTTGTTGAGGAGGAATATTGCCGCCTACTTCTAGTAGTGGGTCGTATGCCAAGGTGAAGGCACACACCACAGAGAAGAAAGAAGTGCACGTAGGCCCCGCTCTGGCAAACAAGCCCAACCGACGCGCTTGGTTAGAGCCCTGTTGCTCAGACGTCAGTAAACCTTGTCGACACCCCCTGGAGTGACGTGATAGTACGACATGGAGAGAATTGAACACGCTCTGAAAAACGGAGGAAGTGTAAAAGCAGTGAAGAGGAAACTTGGGATAGGCAAAATTCGATGTATGCACCAAGGGATAAAGAAGGCAAAATAACTAACAGTATGGATAGGATAACTGAAATAGCGGAGGAGATTTACAGAGATCTGTACAATAGCCGGGACAACATGACCATAATACTATAAGAATTGGCAGTAACCCAGATGACTCCCCCCCCCCCCCCAGTAATGATAGAAGAAGTAAGAAAAGCATTGGAAAGCATGCAAAGAGGCAAAGCTGCTGGTGAGGATCACGTTACATCAGATCTGCTGAAAGATGGTGGACAGGTTCTGTTAGAAAAACTAGCCACCCTGTTTACGAGGTGTCTCCTGACGTGAAGGGTACCAGGGTCTTGGAAGAACGCTTATATCATCTTAATACATAATAAATTAGATGACAAGGACTTGAAAAATTACACGCCAATCAGCTTGCTCTCTGTAGTATACAAGCTATTTACAAAGGTAATTGCTAACAGAGTAAAGAAAACATTAAACTTCAATCAACCAAAGAAACAAGCAGGATTTCGAACAGGCTACTCAACAATCGACCACATTCATACTGTCAATCAGGTAATAGAGAAACGCTCAGAATATAACCAACCACTATACATAGCCTTGAAAGATTACGAGAAGGCGTTTGATTAAGAAGAAATATAAGCCGCCATGCAGACACTGCGGATTCAGGGCGTCGATGAAGTATATACAAACATCCTGGAAAAAATCTACAGGGGATCAACTGCTACCGTAGTGCATCATAAAGAAAGCAACAGAGTGCCAATCAAGAAGGGTGTAAGGCAGGTGGACACAATCTCCCCAATGCTATATACCGCGTGCTTACAGGAGGTTTTCAGAAGCCCTGAATGGGAACAGTTAGGGATAAGAGTAATGAAGAGTACCTCAGTAGCCTGCGCTTCGCCGATGACATTGCATTGCTGAGTAACTCAGAGGACGGATTGCAACTCATGATTACGGAGTTAGACAAGGAGAGCGGAAAGGTGGGTCTTAAAGTTAATCCGCAGAAAACGAAAGTAATGTACAACAACCTCGGAAAAACAGCAGCGCTACGAGATAAGTAATAGTGCACTTCAAATTTTAAAAAGACTATGTCTACTTAGGGCAGGTAATAACCGAAGAGCCTAACCACGAGATTGAAGTAACTAGAAGAATAAGAATGGGGTGGAGCACATTCGGCAAGCACTCTCAAAATATGACGTGTAGATTGCCAGTATCCCTCAAGAGGAAGGTATGTAACAGCTGTATCTTGCCGGTACTTAGCTACCGAGCAGAAACCTGGAGACTTACAAAGAGGGTTCAGCTTAAATTGAGGACGACGCAGTGAGCAACGGAAAGAAAAATGGTGAGTGTAACCTTAAGAGGCAAGAAGAGAGCAGAGTGGATTAGGGAACAAATGGGTGTTAAGAATGTCATAGTTGAAATCAAGAAGAGGAAATGGACATGGGGGGCATGTAGCGCGTAGACAGAATAACCGCTGGTCATTAAGGGTAACAAACTGGATTCCCAGAGAAGGCAAGCGGGTTAGGGGGAGACAGAAGGTTAGGTGGGCAGATGAGATTAAGAAGTTTACGGGTATAAATTGGCAGCAGCAAGCACCGGACCTGGTTAACTGGCGGAACATGGGAGAGGCCTTTGTTCTGCAGTGGACGTAGTTTAACTGAGGATGATGATGATGATGATGATGATGATGATGAAGATGATGATGTTAATCACTGCCCGCTTTGAATGTTCTGGATGAAATGCACTTTGTCAATGCGGTATACTATACTTATTTTGAGACAGTTGCTGTCTCATGCTCACCAGGTTTGGCCAGTCTTCGTCTTCTTCTGCCTTTCTAGTTTGCTGTAATGTCTTCGCCAATGCATTAAAGTCTTGAAATATAAAGCTCGGGCTGCTGTCGCATTTGCCCTTTTAGAAAGGGTTGCCACGAAAACAAGAACACGGTGTTCAGCCTCTGTTTATCTACGAAAATAATTCCAGCCTCTGGAAGATATAATAAAGACAAAACTCTCGTATTATAGATATGGTCAAAACAGAAGAAGCAGCTGCAGTGGGCGGTATAGAATAGTCTCATATCAGATGACAGCTTGATGCTTAGTTAAAGAGCGTTTACTAGTACATAAAAGTATATAGCTCGTAGTTGATGCTTGTATATTCTTCTTTTATATTTTTCAGTTTGGAAATAATAGACATGAACACTTTTGCAGTACTCGCCCGTGGAAAGTTTTCGGAAACGTGCAGGGAATTCGTCAGCCGAAGCAATGAAATAGAAACTGCAACTAGTTATTATCAGTTGTATAAAACACTTGCAAGTTTTACGAAGCAGTGCCTCTTTATTTAGAACGTGAATTCCTCTTAGTTTCTTTATTTTCATGCACTCCTAAGTACAATTTAAGTAAATAAAGTGAATTTGGCCAAACGGCTTAGTGTAGACCCCATTGTATTTTATATTTCCGCCTTAGGTCAGACGAAAAACAAATAAAAAAGAAACAAATCAAAGTTGCATAGAATTTTCAGCGCCATGAGCCCGGGCCCTTAAAAGGTTCCAAATTATTCATAATGGCTCTGCATTATTACAAACCGCTGTGCAAATATGAATGTGGAAGGGTGCAGTGTATATATGAAAACTGTAGATTATACTGAAAGTCCCTTTTTCTCATACGAAAAAGGCTTTGTTGTGTTTCACCGAGGTCGATGTGAAGAAGTTGTTCTCTAAAGCGAAACTGCTCTGTAATTTGAATGTGTCTCCTGGCAACAATGAATTTTTTAGCAATCTAGAAATTGCAGACTTTGAGAAACCACATTGTGCGATCAGTCCATTCGAGATAACCACGAGAATGCACCAGCAGAAAACGATTCATATTTGCTGTGCCCAAATGGATGCGGAGGTAATTGATAGCGGAGTGAATGTTTTATGAAGGCATAGTGGCCCCGAGGGACCGACACACGTACTTCGGATACAATAGGTGCATACAGCGCCACCGAAAGACTGTGTTATAATGACGTTAAATATTGATCGTCATTCTTTGTCCTTTGTGCACATAAGCTCTCATAGTGCAGGTTAGCCACAGCGTTCTCTAATTATCTGCAATTATCCCTCCTGTACATTTACTTATTTATGATTGGCCATCAATGCGTAATATCCGCAAGTTGAAGCTCTTGTTCGGTGCGAGTTTGTAGTTGTTACTGCGGCCTATATTTTCGCCTTGATTATACTGTATGCACGATATAGCCTGAGTGTTTAGTACTGAACGTGAAATCTAAAAAATGAAAAGTTAAAGCCAGCGGTGTTCAGGTGGACTAAATTATTCATCGATCTTAGTCTTCGACGACAACGACAGTGACACTCCAGTAAAAAAAAGTCAAACAAAAAGCTTTCTTTCATCTTGCTTTTATTGTGGAAAAAAAGGCACCGAGCTTCTTGAAACCAAGGAATGCTGCTGCGCTTCCGCTATTTTGGAATGCTGCTGCGCTTCCGCTGCCTTGTGTTTGGTAACCTCGGTCTCCGTGCGAGCAAGGTTTACTGGACGCCCGTGACGTGTGAGGCTGTTGTAACTTGCTTTGATGTTTTCGGGGGTATGACGCAAGTATGGCCCCGCGCTTGACGGCAGAGTCACGCTGTCGGCTACTATGGTGTCCACGTCAGAATGAACCACCAATTCTGTGTCATTTTGAAAAAAAAAAGCGGCAATATCTTGAAAAGTTTTGGTACTGCCTGGATCGTCCTTGTTCGACTTGCTTACCGCAAACACGCCGAAACTCAAACTCGGCTGAATGTTGGAGTGTATCATCGGTTTCAAACCACGGATAAAGTAAGTATTTTCCATAGGGTCTAAATATTTCACGTTGCGCGTGTGCATATCGTCGGGCTCAAGACGCATGGTCACGTTCAGATCTGGCTTTTGCTCGTACGACTCGTAGTTTGACAGGTTGCTAGTAGTGTAGGATACAACGTCAGTAGGCAGGCCTAGCTGTGTACGAGTTGGCAACTCATTCCCCGCGTTGTAAGTAGGACCCATCTTTAGCCACGCGTCACCTCCAAAGTAATACTCATTGTTGACTATGGGTGTGCCCATGTGGCCTTTGAAGGCAAACTGGTTGACAAACTTGGTCAAGCAAAGACTAGCCTTGTCAATGTGAATAAAATCGTAGGCAAAGTTGTGTCGCGACACGCCCATGCACGCAGGTATGCTCTTTTCGTCGTAGCCATTTTGCTCCACCTTTCCCGGTGTCATTTTAGGACCCCAGTAGCTTTTAGCCAGATCGGCGTGGTCCTTCTCCTGAAATGGAGTGTAAGACTGTGGTTTCATCGGGTTGTTTGTCTCGCCTTTTTTAACTCGGCACATGCCTGTATCCAAGGAGTGGTTCAATCCGACGAAGCTAAGACCATAAACTAGCATGTCAGAGTTGACAGGTTGGATAACCGAAGAGCCAGTCTTCCAAGGGGTGCGTAGACCATGGGGAGTAACCTTGACAGTGCAATGCACGGCTCTTGCGTGAGACGGTAAGTTAAGGTAGGTGCCATGAGGAATGTAAAGATACGGCCGGTCCACTGGCAAGCGTGAGAGGCTAGTTAAAACTCCTGGAAACGTTTTCCCGGTGTCATACACTAAATTCGTCTTCAGCATTGCATAGGCCCATGTGGTGAGTATTTTGCTGTCACGGAACACTGTGACCACTCCGTGGTCGCGAGGTACTCGCGAAATCTGCTTAACGAGTTCTGCAGAATTTTCACCGACACCTCCAATTCCTGCTCCGGCTGGACGGACGGGAGCGTCCGATTGCGTCTACAGCGACATTTCGGCGTCGCCGGTGCTTGGTCAGGCTGGTATCGCTTTGCGTCTGGTGTATCTGATTGCCCCTTATGTGCACGTTTCCGTCTAACTCCTGGCAATCCATAGAGGCTGCGGGCCAAAACGTATTGTTCTACAATATTCTTCGTGCCCAGACCGACTGCACCTAATGCAGAATGCCAGTTACCGGTGCGTCTAAAGTCATTCAACAGAACTGCAGGTGCTTGGTCAGCCGCAAAGACGTCCTCGTGACTTGTGGTTTGCTCGTAGGCTTCGTCGTGCGACTTGGCTATGCCGTCGTCCTCGTCCCCCGGATCTCCGTTGCGCAGTGGATTCCCGGGACCCAGGTACTGATGGCCTGGGAAAAAAGGCATGCTACTCAGGTTAGCAGATATACACATGGTAGCGGTAGCGACATCGCGACAGCTACACTCTTAGCCGCCTCTATTTAATAACTGATTGACTGACTGTGACTGACTGATTGTGACTGACTGCCTGGCTGGCTGGCTGGCCAGCCGGCTGACCGGCCGACCGACCGACCGACTGACCGACCAAAAATAAATACACCACCACCATGTCCAGATTTTTGTTTGGCAACTTTTAAAGCTTCATAATGTTAATTAAAAGCACGAAATGGCTAACTGTGGAGAAGGAAGTACTTAAGAATAGGATCACAGTTGCTATATTAGAAAGCAGTGTTGAAAAACTGTTCACTAGACACATTACTCGAACAAAAATACGAACTAGAAAGATCATCTAACAATTTCTAGAAATCAACTCATACGAAGTAAATTGATGCTCTAAAAACGCGTACGCACTTCTGTAGAGTATGTAGCTGTACATACATATCTATTACTGCAACTCAATTAGTGACACTTCTCAAAACGGCACCGAGGCCTGCCGTAATTGTTTTACGGTAGACATTGTGGTTGAGGGCATGTGCTCTCAGAGATTGCCAGGCCCGAACGCGTGTCAAGGCTTTAAGCTCACACCAGACCAAAATGTGCATATATTCACTGCCAGTGCCCCAGCACAGAGTAAATTTAGCACACCCTCATAAGACTGCGTTTCCTAAATCTTTACGTCAGCGGCTCAATTTCCATTTGGAATAGGTAGTTATGCGTGCTTTATTAAGAAAGAAATACACTTCCATAATGCCTTTGTTGCTAAGCTTGTTTCATACCAGTTTACTACACATTGATAATCTACGTGGAAACATAGGCTTCAAGTCATGGATGTTTTCGGAAACATGAAATAACAAAGAGGAGTTATTTTGTGTTCTTGTGCTACTTTAGATTTTTTAGAATCTCGTGCATTGCCAAATGGGCCAGTATGGCTGTCATAAAAGAAATGTGCTTTCGAAAAAGAATGGCTATCAAACTAAGACTTCATTACTTCAGTAACGTCACGCCAGCAATAAAAGTATTGCCGCGCGCATGTGCCAGTGGTGTCGAGAACGAAGCAGCGCGAGTGTCCTTGGCCGAGTGAAAAATACGAAGAAGTAGTTAGTCTTTTTCCTGCGATCGATAAAGCGTATTTGTTTGAGGTGCTTTGTGTGCTCGTCGATCCTGCGTCGTCACACTGGTAAAGGTGCCGGGTAGTCTTCATGCTTAGCACCCCTTCGTGGTCCCGACATTCGAGCCCGGAATCGCTACCACCCGTCGACACACCAGTCTACCGTTTCAGTCGCTGTCTGTGAGGCCTGGCTCCCGAGCTCAATCCTTTGCCAGAAACTTTAAGCAATCGCTTGCCGCCTTCAGCAACCATGAATACTGAAGCTCCATTGCATATGACAACTCAGAATCCCATGATTTCTGACTGCTTTCATAGTGAAACCTATGAAGACGCACAAGACTGGCTGGACCAGTTCGAATGCTGGGTGAAGTACAACCAGTGCGCCACCCCAGAAGACAAGCTCGCGAATGTGTACTTCTACCTGAAAGATAACGCCCAGACGTGGTACATCAACAGGAAAAGAAGCATGGCTACGTGGGACGACTTCCGCAACCAGCTGATTGACACCTTTACTAGTCTCGACAGAAAGGAGAATGCGCAACGTCTCTTGGATGCTCAACCCAAATGAGAGCGTTGCTATGTTCTCCAAAGACATGACCCGTCTTTTCAGCAGGGCAGATCCAGAGATACCGGAAGACAGGAAGCTGCGGTATCTAATGCGAGGCGTGAAGGAGCAATTGTTTGCTTGGCTAGTGAGAAATCCACCAACCACAGTAGCTTAGTTCACGAAAGAAGCCAAAGCTATTGAACGGGCCCTACAGCAACGGTACCGCCAGCAGAACCCGGTCAACTTTCAAGCGAGTAGTCCCGTTACGACTGCGGCGAGCCTCTGTGACAATGACAGGCCTCTGCGGGAAGTCATCCGGCAGATATTGAGGGTGGAGCTTCCGCAGCTTGGTTTAATTCCAGCAACCAAACCGACGCCGGCATTGTCCTTTGTCGCTGATGTTGTCCGAGATGAGGTCCGTCAGGCTCTCTCTTCATCCGGCTATAATGATGAGCAACGACATTTGACTTATCCTGATGCATTCCGACGCCCCGTAGTTGCGCCTTCGGCACAGCGGACTCCTATGGCTGAACCACTACCAACCCTGCAAACACAGCCGCTCTCAGCGTCGACGACTTTCCCAACCGCACTGATCTCGCCGACAAGACGAATGCCGTTTAGCCAAAAATGTGAATCCCACAACGTGGTTCAATAGTGGGTCTCTGCTTACCTACCAGCGTCGGAAAACAGATTTGTGGCGTACCGCTGAAGATCGACCGGTATGCTTCCATTGTGGTGAAGCTGGGCGCGCTTACAGAGTTTGCCGTTATCGCGTTGCTCAGTACTCGATGTTTCCTTGCTACCATGATTACCCTACGTACGACGATCAACGCACCTATTCCGACACTCCTATGAACACATCGCCGCAGAATCCAATGAGGCCCGGGTCACGTTCTCCATCTCCTGCACGGGGCACTTCACCTAATTGTCGCAGTTTTGCAGACGTCACCAGGGGCAGGTCCCCTAGCCCGCGACGGGGAAACTAGACGCAGTGACTACAGGAGGTAGGGTTGCCAATAATCAAACTTCCGAACAGCCCCCATGCAGACATATGACAGCTCAAAGCCACCGATGCCGAAGACAACGACAGCAACGACTAATCCGACGAATGGAACAACTGCCGACGTAACCAACGTTATCAGCGCTGACCTCATCGTTCAAATTGACGGCCACCAAGTGACGGCTCTTGTGGACACCTAATAAGCCTTCAGCTAGCTGACAGACTAAGGAAGGTGAATATGCCATGGCACGGACCCAATATAACAACTTCTGGAGGTCAGTTGATGACACCGGTTGGAAAGTGCACGGCCCGACTCTTCATCGCTGGTTCCACCTTTGTCGCCACCCTCGTCATTCTTCACGAGTGCTGTAAACAGTTCATATTGGGAATGGATTGCTTACGCGAATACAGGGCTGTGATTGACGTCTGTGACAGAAGCGTAACGTTCGCTACAAGCTCGGAGACTGCTACAGATGAACACCAGCCACCTCGCTTCCGTATTTTGATGACGACGTCATACTGCCGCAATGAAGTTGTTCCCTCGAATACGTGCAATGTGACATCTCACAAAACGGTACTGGCATCGCTGAACACATCAAGAAGCTCGCATTCACTAGCGGCATTTCTGTTGCCAGGGCTGTCATCACTGTTACTGACGGATGCGCTGAACTCTTATTGACAAATTTTAGTAGAGAACGCTGACACATAGTGAAAGGCATGGCTATTGCTTATTTCGACGAACACTCTCAAACAGAAGATTGTCATTTAGTGGAAAAAGCAGCAGCGTCTACAATCAGTACACTGACGCCTGTCGACGTTGGTCCAACGTTATCTCCCACTAAGCGAGACCGCTTTCTTACGCTGATCAAGTTCCATGGCTGCTTCTCATCCACATCAAGAGTTGGCCAAACGGCACTGACGAAACACCGCATCATCATGAATTATGACTCCAGACCCATTCGGCAAAATCCTTATCGAGTCACCCCAAAGGAGCATGAGGCAATTCAAAAACAGGTGAAAACAATGCTAGAAGATGGTGTTATTTGACCATCTAACAGCCCTTGGGCATCACCTGTAGTACTCGTCAAAAAGAAGGACGGCAGCTTGCGTTTCTGCGTCGACGACCAGAAGTTCAATCAGATCACAAAAAAGGACGTCTACCCTCTGCCGCGTAGTGATGATTCATTGAATAGACTACGAAACGCACGCTACTTTTCTTCCATTGACTTGAAAAGCGGCTACTGGCAAATCGAAGTGGATGAGAGAGATCGTTGGAAGACCACCTTTGTTGCGCTCGATGGACTTTATGAATTTCAAGTACTTCCTTTCGGTTTGTGTTCAGCGCCAGCAACATTCCAGCGTCTCGTGGACACGGTTCTGTCAGGACTTAAATGGCGAACCTGCTTGGTGTACCTCGACGACGTGATTGTCTTTTCGGTGACATTCGAGGAACACTTACGAATTCTCGAAGCAGTTTTTAAAGCAATACGCTTGGCCGGTCCTACTATAAAACCTGAAAAGTGCCACTTCGACTTCCACGAACTTTAAATCCTCGGTCATGTCGTGAGCAGCCAAGGGATCCGCCCCGACAAGGATAAAGTTGCCGTTGTGGCGAACTTCCCGACGCCATTAGACAAAAATCAGCGCGACGTTTTTTTGGGACTTTGTGCCTATTACCGGCGCTTTATTGCTAATTTTTCGCGCATCGTATGGCCATTGACACAGCTTACTCGGGAAGATACCTGAGTGCTGCAGCCTGTCCGAGTTCCGGCGACACCGTTCGCACAAATCGGCATAAATTTTCTGGACCCCTTTCCGAAGTCGGCCACTGGAAACAGGTGGATAATCGTCGCTACGGATTACCTGACCTGATAAGCGGAAACAGGCGCTCTGTCACGGGCAACGGCAGCTGAAGCGACACATCTTTTCATCGAAGCCATCGTCTTAAGACACGGTGCTCCCGCAATAGTCATCACCGACATAGGTACTGCGTTCATGGCCGAGCTTTTGAACACCATTTTCTGACTAAGTGGTACAGCTCACAGAAAGACAATGGCGTGTCGTCCCCAGACCAAGGGGCTCACCGAACGCCTCAACAAGACCCTGGCTGACATGATAAGCATGCACGTAGATGTAGAGCACAAGAACTGGGACGTCATTTTGCCCAACGTCACGTTCGCGTACAACACGGCTCATCTAGAGACCTCTTGGAAGACAGACACCCTTCAGCCTCCTTTACGGACGCGAGGTTACGACAACGTTAGACGCAATGCTCCCTAATGAAAATGATGGCAATGAGACGGACGCCGAAT